CTAAGTAACAGATACAAATATTGTCAAGTCATTTTGAACTGAAATTTAGGTTTCAATCCTTCAGCACTGAGCTACAAGCTCACTAGACAAAATGCTAAAAATTTCGAACAAACTTGTCATACGATACAATGCCATTTAACAATAGGTTAATGGGTCACAAGAAGCTTTTCATTTTTGTGTTTCGTCCCCCTTAATTATCTTTTCCCGACCACTTAAGACTCGCCCAGAAGCATTCTTGGAATATTTGCGCGCTTTGACGAAATAAACCAGGAGAACATACGGTCGTTCGACACAACCTTTAAACGGGGTACCACTTTAACATCTCTCCCCTCCTTTACATATATCGCGTTGCTGAAGAAGTTGACAGAGCTCATCAAGAATTTATTCAAAATGTCGAGCGAAGTTTTGCTTAAGGTTCGTGAGAGAATGCAAAAGATGAAAGACAAAATTGAAGATGCTGAAAATAGGGAACACGACGCCAAAGAGGAATGCAAAGAGGTAGAGGCGACATTGGGCCAGAATGAAACCGACATTGACTCGATGAAAAAGCGAATTCAGCTCCTTACGAAAGAGCTGGATGAGAAGAATGCTCTACTAGAGGAGAGAAAAATGAAAAGTGGCCAATTAGAGGAAAAGTACGAGAAGGAGAACGAAGTTGTTCGCGAGCTTGAGAACGTTGAGATCGGCGAGGATGAAAGGATGCACGAATTGGAGACGGATTTGACCGAGACGAGTCAAAAAGCGGAGCAACTGGAACTACAAAATACGGAACTGAGGCAAAAACTTGGCCAGTTAGAGAACGAGATTCAAAAGGTATGAGCCAGCTTTTACTATAAAATTGTAAACTGCTCTCCAAAGCATGGTTGTTTATCGCCGTTGAATTATGTTACCGAGGAACCTTACCGTTCCGTCAGCTTAAAAAGAGAAAAATATTTTCAAAATTGAATTCTTTCTGTATTTTGTACAAAAATAAGCGCCGACTGATGAAAGATAAAGCACACGATGTAGTTAAATCTTTCAGTTGCTTATCGCAACGACCAATTGGTGAACTAATCAGTGATCTCGAAAGCTCATAAGTTATGTGGATAGGAATCTACGGTAATAGATACTTTGATACCTTCACATCCGAATGAAATTATGCCAGATGGCTGATTTTTATCGCGGTAACGACTTTTCAATTTTCTATTTTCTAGCGTCCAAAGAACTGAAAAATTTATTAGGCATTATCTCTAAAAAGAAAAGCTGAATTGCGTCGAGGAGCCTTCTTTAGGTCGATCGAAAAGTAAACAAGCTTTAGTGCAAGGGTCGAAGTAAACAGAGCTATTGTTTTTGTGTCACTGAAGCGGAATAACTCGAGGGCTTCGATTACATGAAACACTATGTGTTGCAGCCGATTTGAAAGCTTTTGTTTGTACACTCGAAATCATTCCCATGAACTATCATGAAAGGGACGCGGAGACATAGTAGACATGGTATACTTATCATTGAGTACTAATTATTTTTGTAGATAAAGGGTCAGATTTAAATTAGGACAATCCATCAATGTATCAATTTCAGTTTTTCCGGCGTTTTTGTTTCAATAATATTGCGTTCTAATCCACAAAATGAACAGCTCTGCAAACAGCTGGCTGACATTTAGAAGCGAAATTTTTTTTTTTATGTCTGACCCCCCCCCGCTTTCCACTCTTCTCCGATCTATCTTCCCCTCTTTGTAATGGATGTGATTGACTGGTGACTGGTGAAATGACGTGACAATATTTGCGGAAATTTCTTTAATCTGTGAGCCGAAAAAGTCAGACAATAGGATTAATCAAACCATGCGGATAATTACAACCACAACAATTGGGCCGCATCTGAAAGTTAAACCTTACACTTTCAAAACAGAAAACGAATATATCCAAAAACAAATCGAGGTCACGAGAAAGACATTGACATGATCTCTCAACAAAGAAAAGCGCCATTATACTTCAGAGAGAATTGCAGAATTGTTTCTCAAGGGAAACGGTTTGAGTTTGGTCTACTGTAACGCTCAAAATAGAACTTCAGATATGACAATTCTTTTTCGCCGAAATTACGTGCCATTTATCACTACGAGTCATTTATGTCTTGCGCTTTGGAAAATAATCTCTTCAGATAATTCTCAATGAGATCAGATTAAACCTCGCCTCTTATCCTCTCAATAAATCGTAAAAGTGATGCTCGTTGGCTCATTCACAGATGTACCGAATACCAAAGATCCAAACCGATAAATAGATGATCCGAACTTTCTGTGCTAATACGAGCTGATTAGTCTTAAGCAGTTCCATGCAGCCGCAGCAATAAAATGATCGAAATTCAAATACTTTCAATTCCTATCAATTAGAACTCGACTCTGAGGGTAAATATAGCCGAGTCCTCCGCCTGAAATAGCCATGGAACGAACTTAAAATAAGTTATGATGGAAAAGTTATCTTTCATTGAAATCTCCTGGCCTCAGTTGTTCAGTCGAAGGATGGATAACGCTATCCACCGGATAAATCACTGTCCAGAGGATGGAGCAGTAAGTTTTGTTTACACTTAAATCAGAGGGCCTCAGGATAGCGATTTACCTGTTGGATAGCGTTATCTGCCCTTTGAACAGCTGGGCCAAGCGGCAAATAATTTTAAAGGTAATGATTTTTATTCAGAGAAGATAGCCGAGATTTATATAACATATGCATTTTACCAGGAGGGACGAGAGCGTGGTTGCGTCCCGAAAAGTAGAGGCCAAACTGTTGGCCAGTCTGTCTATGATTAATTTCAGGATTTCTCACAATTCGCCAATCTTAATGCATGTTTGTGTGTGAACTTGTCTGCCCTAGATTCGTGTCTTCTTGCCAATAATTCTCGAGAAAGCCAAAATAAAGATAGCAAAACCCGTTAATGCATCCGTCTAAGGACAATGAGGTACCCTAAATGCTAAATGCGTTTGTTTCTATGTTGCATTGGTGTTTCACAGGCTCAGGAACGCGAGGGTGCCGCTTTAGAAAAGATCGATTCCTTGACTGACCGTGTCACCCAAGCCGGAGAAAATTTGCGAGACCTGGAGCAGAGAGATGAAGACGCCAGCGAGCGTGAGCAGTTTAACGAGGACAAGGTGAGCTTCCTGAAGGAGCAACTAAAAGAAATGCTGGCCGCAGCTGAAGACCACGAAAGGAAAATCCCCCCATTAGAGCGAGTAATCGATCAGATGACGACAGAAATACGCGATTGGAACGGTAAGGTCGAGGAAGTGAGAAAGGAGATGGAAGATATGGAGATGTTGGTTGGAGGAGACTTAAGCGACGATGAAGATGACGTCAAAGCGGGGAAGAAAGCAGCGGTGCCAACGACTAGAGAAACAAATGTCTGTCAAGAGCCCGATGAGGAACCAGGAGAAGATGACGATGAAAGAGCGAGAAATGAAGAGAGAAAGCGGTACGATGACCACGACGACGACGACGAAGAGGAGGAGGAAGACGACGACTAGCACTAGCATGAACACTAGCACGTATGAAACGTATGCCATATGTTGACTTTGTCAATAAATTTAGAGTTATTGATTTATTAAATTCAGTGAGCAATAGGTCTCGTTATTGTGTAATGCAAGAAGCTACCCATGTTAAATTTTAACCTTCTGTAATGGCATTATCGTGTGGCAGCTGTAACAGCGAATCTTTAAGCAAAAACTTATAACGATAATCACTCCAGAATTTTCCGTTTCAGGAGAACAGCTATCTAAAACGAATTACCTGAGAAAGAATTTAAGCTAAAATTGCCATTTGTATCCCATGTTATTAAGCCATTAATTAGGAATCTATCACTTCTTCGGTAGAAAGACTAGAATCCCTCTAAATATTTCCAAAACCGGTCTTATCTTGGAAAGGGGAAACTAATTACTTTATCTTGGGCATTTAATAATTATTTTGCAGCCTCTCACTGTCGCTTAAAAAATTTCGACAAAATTAGTGTTGCTAAAGGGAAAAGTTTTATCAATTTCCCGCTACCATTCTGTTAAGTTACTTATTTTCTACATCTGACAGAAATCTCCCTCTTTCAACTCGGAAGTGAGTCTTAAACGATGAAATTTGTGCAGTATTTTTTGCCATCAACACGCAAGACGGCCGTATCTGTTTCATCGTTCAACTTGAACCCTTGATACAGATCAAATTCATTCTCTCCATCAATTTGATGAGGCCTTATCCAACATTTTCAGCCAAAGTTTTTCGTAACCAATATCTCAGTGCCTTAGGTCTTATTTCTAAGAATTGTTCAGTAATTTTGCTTCAAACTAACGTAGCCTCCTAAGCTCGTCTGTTAAATGAACCAGTAACCTCATATATCGTCAACAACATTGCGTGATGTGTTGGCTGAACAAAAAATCACGAGATCTCGGTTTTCAGAATTCAATCATTTCCATCTTAATTGTATTACACTACAATTACTCTCTTTATCTTTAATGCCGTAATCATTGCTTTCAATCGCGGACCTGACGATTATCTTTTCAGGCAAAGACACCAATCATTTGATTCACAACTGGTTGGCTACAAAAAGAAAAATTTTGTCGTGACCTTTTGTTTATGACAACAACCATCTAGCCAGTCCAAAACTACAACCGCCATTAAGGGAATTTTTTTGCGAAAATACGGGGAAATTCTCGAAGAAAAAATCTTCACCCTAAACCCTTTAACTCCCAAGATCTGATTGTTAATTCTCCCCTGTAGCTGCTACACATTTCCTAGTAGCTTGGTTATGAGATTTTGGTGTTCGATCTAGGTAATATCTTGCACCTGGTTATTTTGAGTATTCTCACAGCCTGTTTGCTGGATATTGTATGAATATTATAGGGAGAAGTTAAATGTTAATCAATTATGAGGGTTAAAAGGTTAAATTCGACAGTCTGGTCGGTCTGCTTGCGACTCGTTAATCAGTTATCAAAGCAAAATTTATTCAAAATGGCTGCTCAACCGTGAAGCCCGCAGATAAAATGGTTTCGTAACTGAGAATAAACAGAGTCTTTAGATGCTTGAAAGTTCATTCATAGCTGGGCAATGAGATCATCCAGGAATGCTATGGGATTCACACGTCAGTTCCTGTCCCTATAAATGTTACGCCCTTTTCCGTCACGATAGAAAACGTGCCTCTACGGAGTTCTACAATTCGGAATAAAAATTTGTTGCTCAATGGCAAACTGTGCTAATCTGCTAATATCTTTAACTAAATACAAAACAACAGTCCTTTTAATGACATGTTTCGGCTACGATTGTTCGTATTCTTTTAATATCTTTCGCAACACAAAAGAAGTCATTGAAAATAAAACGAAAATATAAAGCCACAAGTACTGAACCAAATCGCGTCTATCCGGTGTTAAATGAGCCTGAACGACGATTATAATGCTATTTCTCTCTGATGTGTCTTTACAAAGTACTCTTTCAGTTAATGAGAATTTTTTTATCGATGCAGTAGACGCCAAATCTGATAAAGAACCAAATTCTTTTCACGTGCATCACAAGAACAATAAGGAAGTATACCTTGAGAATTTACACGGGATCAACAGGATAATTTCTATGCGATATTAGACCGAACGGCGCCAATAGGCTTTTAGAAAAATCACAATATTTACATAAAAATGAGTAGTACTTGACTGCTCATGTAAGTTCACAATATCCACTTCTGCCGTCTTTGAATATTTAACATTCTTGTTAAAACTCGACTGCTTTTAAACACTCCGCTACATCTTGAGCGCGCAAGTTAGTATCCATAAGATTGAATTTTCGAGGAGTCGTATAGTTTCGGACGTATCGATTTGAAAATACCCCATTTGAAATGTATACCAATAACGCGAAAAACAAAATTCGCGACCGTTTTCAAGAAATCAGAGACAAGATCGACGTTGCAGATGATAGAGCAGACAACGCTTTGGATGTGCTCAAAGAGGCGAAAAGAAAGGCAGATGAGCTCGAATTGGACCGCGACTCATGCAAGAGGAAAATTGAACTTGCCAAAGCAACTTTGGCGGAGAGGAACAACGAGCTGAAGAAAAAGCTCAAAAAGCTGGAAGACCTTGAGGATAAAGACAAGGTCGAAAGCGAACTTGTAAAGACCCTTGAAAATATTGAACTGGATGGGGACGAGAAGTTAAACAGCTTGGAGAAGCAGTTACAGAAGATTAGCAACATCGCTGACAAAAAGGAATCGGAGAACAAAGAATCAACGCTACGCCTGGAACAGTTGGAGAGTGAACTTGAAAAGGTAAGAGTTTATCACAACGCGCCCAAGCTTGGTTAGCGCTACGAAACTGTTTCGGCTTTACATGTTGAAAAGAAACAATGACTTAGCTAGCAGTGTTAAGCTTTTATTTGAGTAATTCAGTGCTTAGTATTGCCAAAACCAGCCGTTCTTGTAGACAAAAGAGGCAATGCTGGCACCCAAGAGAATTGCCTCATCTGATAGTTAAGTACTTCACAAAGAAATGACGTGCTCCTTTAAGATAACATGCAAATGATTTCACGAAACCCTCCCACAGCGAGTCATGTCCGACAAAATGTTTTTTTTCACGCGTCATTTCTTCGCTCCGAGGGAACTAATGTTTTTAGATTTACCGAACCGAATAAATAGATAACTAAGTGAGGGCTCTTTACTCGGTTTTTCGACTCTTCTTATCGTTTTTCTTTTAGACGCTTTTAAACGTACGACTTAGAAATAATTTTCCGTTGTATTCTCACGATCACAGCTTCGTTCTTTCTCTGCGGGAAGTGAAACGTATCCCGACTGTTATAAAAAGATTTTGCAAGCAATACACTTTTTATGTCTTGGCAACTTCTTTGCCCTGTTTTGGCAACTCACTCCGATCTGAACAAGGGAAGCACTATTACTGAAACACTATTTGTACAATTGAGACAGTTGCTGCCGGCATCAAAACGAATATAACATTTAGGAAAAACTCCACGAGATATTGCGACATTGGACTATACCGGAACTATTTCACATACAACGACTACCCGCATATTTCTCAGCTCCGTAAGCAAAATTTTTCAAACCTAACTGATCCAAAGAAAGACATCGGGGTAAAACTTCCGCACAGCCCCATACTATTGTAAAACAAATCTGTTTTCCCAATGGCAATGTATTGTTTTCTCTATCCAAGAACTAAATGCATGATATAGGATGGGGCTGTGCGGAAATTTTGCTGACATCAGTTTTTGGGACTGACGTCAGTATGAAACAATTGCGTATATAATTAGTTTATCCTGGATAAGATTCATAAGCATAAAATACAAAAGCAAATGAATGCATTTTGAACTTGGCATTCATTGACGCTCGCGTGTTCTGTCTCGACCATCTACCTCGCTAAAAATTATGCAGGACGTT